TGCCAGACAGGAGCTCTGAGCAAGCTCCACTAATGAACTGTTGACAATGTCAACAATGAAAAGAGCACAATAGATGCAGTGTATTTATCTGTATTGTCACAGCACCCAGAAACAGCTGCTGTCTGTAGAAACCACTATGCTGCTTCTGTAGAGCTCCCTCTTCTCATAAATCACACCCCCAGATGGTCTTGTAAACAACAACAACAACAACAAAAATGCTATAATGCAGCATATAGAAAACTAAGTTATGAACATGGCATTTGCAAGCAAACAATGTTCCTGGACTGGCTCCTTGGGAACTGCCCTCTGTGCTGTGCACACCCCTCCAATGGCAGCCCTGGAGGAGCTTCTCTCCCAGTGCACAGCCACTGGGACATGGAAAACAGCTGATCACCTGCTTCCTGCAGGAGGATGCCACCCCAGAGGCAGGCACAAGGCTTGGAGCTAGAGCTTAGCCTAGTCTTTGTGAGGCACCACTCAGGTCTGCTACAAGGCAAAATAAAGGGGCAAAGCTTCTCTGGGAAATCTCCACCACTACTAGAAAACTTCTATGGATGGACAGAAGTTGAGCATCTGCAAGGTGGAAGGGAACAGAGGAGTTCTGCAGAGCCGTAAATAACCATGGATGGCAGCACACCGGTAAGGGAAACCTGGAGGAAAAGGAACAGAGAGGAAATAACAGAAAGAAGAGTAAGGGGAAAAAAAAACACAACAAGGCAGAATGAGTCAGAGGAGGCACGGAAAGGAGGAAAGTGAGAACTTTGGGAAGAGAGGCCCATCTAGTAATAAAATAAATCTGTCAGAGGGTTTCTGATTTGGCAGCTCAGAGTATCAAAGCAGGACCAGGCACTACAGGTAGGTACAATATGAATAGTTACACTGGAAGAGCATCTGAGCCTCTGTCCTGGTAACAAAGGTAACAAACAAGTGCAGAGGAGGATTGCCAGAAACCACCCTGCCACTCCAAAGGCAAAACAAATCCCAGTTTTGAAAGGCTTCTAATGTGCTCTTTTGGCTTCCTTAAGGGGTTGATTCTGCCTGCATTGAAGTCAGAGGCAAGGGAGGTGTGTGACTGCTGACTGTATTGAAGCTGGCTCAAGTTCAAGGATAAACCTTAGATGAGACCTCCTCACAAATGGTATTTAGAGAAAATAGGAAAGGAGGAGGTTGGGGAAAGAAAGAGTCCTTTTCCAGATGTATACGTCAGTTTTGGTGTCTGGTCTGCAACAACTATTTCTATTTCCATCAATTTTAAGTCAGCTTCTAAGTCCGTAGCTCTGCCTTTCTCAAGAAAACTGATTAAATTCAAAAGCAGACTTTGCATAGAGAAACAGACAGTTTAGTAACATTCGGCTGTGTTCACTGCAGGAGTGAACGAACCCATGTTCTCCTGTGATCCTCCTTTGTAAATTTGCCTAGAGCAAGGGACAGGCAGATTTCAAAGACAAAAAAAATCCTAGCAAGTTACTGGCAACATCACAGTGAATCATACTTAGTCACCCTGCAGGTATGCACCTATCTAACCTTGTTTACCAGCTCCCTAGTGAGATGTCTTGTGTTGCTGAACGTCCTTGGCCTTTAGCATCAGTGTACACTCCAGATGCAGAATGCACTCTGCCACGTGTTCTTACTAGTTACCAAAGACAAGACAAAACTGTGGGAATGCCCTAATTCCCCCCTGGGACTTCCCCTCCTCTCCTATCTAAGAAAGGGTAAGGTGAACAGCCACTGCAGACAGCTACACCTCCCATCCTCTCCTCTGCAATCTCAAAGCACTCAGCAGCTCCAACAAATAAGGAAGGGGAAAGCATTGTGGAAGTCTGTCCAGGAAGATGAGGGATCAAGAAAGGAATGGAGAGAATGGTTTTCTCATGCTGAGCAAGAAAAGGAGCACACTCCTGCACAGCATGAACTGTCTGCTGAAGCCAGCAATAAGGGTAACAACCAACTCTTTTGCTGACGTTTTTAAAATAACCACAACCTTCGTTTAAAAAGTTAATAACATCAAATAGCTCAAGCTTCCACTCTCAGTCATATCCCTTAAAAGTAACACACTGCAGCTTGACTGAGCTGTAGGATAATGCTAGTCCTTTTAATGCTCCTTAGGCAAATCTGTAGGGACTTTGGAGTCCTTCAATGCAATGCAAATTTGGCTTGCAACACTTTATCATTTCCTCCAGATAAAAGGCACAGCTGATATTCACCTTCTTTCAGGAAGCCCAAGATAAATAAATAAACACACACACATACACACACACACACACATACACATACACACATCTACATATGCAAATACATTTGCGTGTATATGTGTATATATATATATGTAAATACACACAAATGTACATGACTAAATGCTAACACACACAAGTATGGGCTTTTGTCAAGTGTTTTTGTTGGGTTAAGTACATTGAGCTTCACTGTAGAAAGCAGGACATCTGCTTTTAAACATGGCAATTAAGAAACCATGCTTACCCCAAGAATTTTTTAAAGCCTGGACATGTCCCATGCAATCTCTTTTTACATGCAAAGCTTTGCATCACTGTCACTTAGTTAAATGAGATTTTTATGTTTCAACTTTGTCAAGTTATCAGAGGCTGTGGCCAGCCAATTTAAAATGTTGGTATGATGAAGTGTTCTTTAGGCAGAGAAGCATACTCTGCAAAGTAATTTTCTTTAGAGCAGGAGCAGCATAATTTCAAACAGAGAATTGCTGAAATTGTGACGCATGCTGTAATTGCTTAGAAACTACTCCTGATTTTTATTCTGCCTCTGTTGCAAAGTTAACCCCCACCCTTTCAACAAGCTAAACAGATCATAATCTGCTTATATTAGGTTTCAATTTTTCAAATCCTGAACTGATGCTTTGCTCATTCCCCATTCCAATGAAGGCAGTGTGCCTGTTCCTGAGATAAAGGCAAGTCAAGGCTCTAGGTTTTAGGCAGAGATTGAGCAACACAGGCTGAGGATGGTTAATCTTTCCCAGCTGTTCATGCATGAATGGTGTATCTACCTGGGACTGTCAAGTAAAGCCAGCGCAAGGGACTATAATCCCATCTGGCTGAAACCGCACAAATAATGCTTCAGAGAGAAGTGAAAAGAGTTGAATACTTTGTAAAAGCTCTGGCAGGCCTTGAGACAGGAGAGGAGCCACGCTCGTTTGAGAGAGGCGCTGAGGAATGAGAAAGGCTTTAGTATAAGCAGCAGCTCCTGTGTGTAACCAATGGGGAAGGAGCACTGGGAGGGGCAGCAGGCCAAGGATCGAGGCCATTTGCAGCCAGACACAGTACACACCCCAGTCCAGCTGCCAAGCTACTCTTCAGAGCCCCATAAAGCCAACAAGAAGGACTACCGCCACCCTGGGACGTCATTTATAGCCATAGTGACTCCGGTAGGCGCCGTGCCCTGCAGGTCACAAACAGGCTCGCTCCAAACCTACCCAGCATCCTCAAAAGCCGTGGGCCAGGTGATCCATACACTTGAAGGCCGTGTTACTGAGAATTTACTGCCACTCAGCACTAGTAAAAATCACACCTGGGCTAAGAGGCGCGGCCTGGCTTCCGCAGGAACAGCCCCATTCCCTGCCTGCACCCAGGCGGGAGGAGACAGCTCCCCTGGGGCACCCAGCCCTGCGAACATCTCCCACTCGCACCCCGGAGCGAGCCGGGGCTGCGGGGCTGCGGCCGCCCCGGTCGCCTTGCGCCCATGCCCGCCGTCTGCAGAGGGCACTCGGGGCCCGCCGGTGGCTGCCGAGCTGCCGCCTCCCGGCAGCGGGGACGGGAGAGCCCAGTGCCCGGGGACACAGGCCGGGGAGGGCTGCGGCTCCCGCCTCACATGGAAGCTTGGACAGGGAAAGGTACGAGCGTTTTAATGTGAGGCACGTAAAAAAACCCAAAGCAAGCCCACCACCAGAGGTTAGGGATCTGACAGGACCATGGAAAAAGACCTGTGTCACTATAAACACCTGTTAGGAAACATCTTTGGGGAGGCAGCCCGGGAGAGATCGCCACCGACAGGGAAAAGAGCTCGCTGTCACACAGGGACGGCCCAGGAACGAAGTCCGGCGGGTTTACACATCTATGAGCGGTGGAGACCCAGTTCAGAGAACAGCAAAACGCAAGGGGTCCCACTAGCAAGGTGGGAGGCTAAGAGAGAGCTGGGGAAAACTCCCAGCCTCTCATGGCGAAAATCATGCACAGAATACCGGCTTTTCCCTGCTCCTGTTCAATAAAATAATGAATGTCGTAACTCAAACAAGTGGGGAGACTGGAAGTGCTAGGCATACACCTATTTTCAGATGACTGGATGCTCCTCACCACTCTGCACACTTGAAATACGTCAGAGTAGAACATGTAACTCTATCTAAAAAATACCCCAACAATTAAACAAACTAAACCCAACCCGCAAGACGTCTAGGGTACATCCTGCTTCTGCACAGCAAGGCCTGAGCATGGACAACATCCCTCGAGTTTGGTTAGTCCACTCCAGAAACTGGAAGAGAACAGACGTCTCTACTAACCGCTGCTGCAATTCCCGTTTCGCAGAAGTTATGCGAGGAATTATGCCAGCTCCCAGAGTTGCTCCGTCCCCTGGCAAGCGCCGCATCCCTTTTTTTTCGCCCTCTCCTTGTGGCAAACAACATACCAACAAGCGGAGATTTTTCAGCTACACCCTTTTTCTTGGCAATCACCCCCCAGCCCTTCCTCGGGGAGCCCGGAGGCACTGGAGAGGGGCAGCGCCAACCCCCCAGTCCAGCCTAGCCCGGAGCCGCGCAGCTGGAGACAGCAGCAGCGATACTGGGGTCACCGTCCTGCGTGGAGCCCTCGGCTCCAAATGTATAGTCAAAAAAAAAAAAAAAAAAAAAAAAAAAAAAAAAAAAAAAAAAAAAAAAAAAAAAAAAAAAAAACGCCCGTCCTCCCCAGCCACCGCCACCCCCGGGGAAGCGGCGGCCGAAACCCGCCCGCCGAGCAGAGCGCCAGGGCCGCGGAGGCTGCTCAAACCTTGGAGCAAGGGGGAGCGGGACAGCTCGGGCCGGTCCTCGGGGAAGGAGTCGAGGAGCCGCTTGAAGAGGCGGCCGAGGTCGGAGTAGCTGCGGTGCAGGTAGAGGATGTTGCGGTCCGACCACTCGGTGCGGATCTCGTAGAACTCCTCCTCGTCGCCCCGCCGGCTGATGATGAGCCGCCGGATGCCGTTCACCCAGCAGCCCCGCACATACATGTTCACCAGCGAGGTGCCCTCAAACACGGCCGAAGCCATCCCGCCGCCGCCCGCACATCCCCCGCCGCCGGCGCAGGGCGAAGCGCACCGCCCCGCGCCGCCGTGGCCAAGTTAAGAGGAGGAGGAGGAGGAAGAGGAGGAGGAGGAGGAAGAGAGAAGGGGGGGTGCCACCCGCCGCACGCCCCCCCCGGCCTGGCCCTGCCCGCCGGGGCTGTGTCGCCGCCCGGCGCTGGAGGGAGGCTCGCTAGTGCCTCATAGACGGCGGCCGCAGCGAGGGGACGGCCCGGGCACCCTGTCCCGCCAAGCCCTCGGCGCCGAGCAGGACGGCTCTCACCCCTCCGGGGCGGGGAGCAGGGTGGCTCGGCCCCTTCTTCTCGGCTCCGCAGGAAGGCAGAGCCCCTCCCGTCCAAAGGCGGGGGGACGCCCCGGCCCCGCAGCCAGCGCCCACCCCCTGCGCCGAGCCCTGCGGTCCCCGCGGGGCGGGATCCTCCTCTTCCTTCTCGGGACGTTTTCGTAGACACCGCAGACATAGCGAGGAATTTTTTTCTCCTCGCAGTGACCCCAGAAGGTTTTTTTTTTTTTTTCCTTAAGCCTCCGTCCCGGCCAGCTGAGGCAGGGACAGGGAGAATGCCGGGCTATCAGCAGCCAGCAGCACACAGGGTGGACCAGCGCCCCCGCTGAGCCCTGGGAAACCTCGGCGGAGCCCCCGGCAACCGAGCCTGCACCTCCGGCGGGAAGGGGGCCGGCACAGAGAGGAAAAACAGGAGGGAGTGCGCAGCTGGTGCCTGGGACTCCTTCGGCCTTTTAATAATAGTCTGGCGGGACGGCATCCCTGAAGGAGCCTCCAGCAGCATCGCGTACGGCAGGGAGATGGGGAGGCCTGTGCTGCAAATACAGTTCCTCCTTCGCACCGGGACCACATGCCATGCGGTGCCCGAACTCCCAGAGAGCGGGGCATAGGGAGAGCTGGCGGGGGCCGCAGCAGTCGGCAGCAGGCATCTGGCAAAACCGGAGCAGCACTGCAGAGCAAGGAGGTGTGTGGGAGATGCCTGGATGCCTAGAAATGCCTTGGAGCTGCGGGGTTAAGATATACATACATACATATACATATACATATACATATACATATACATACTGAAGGTGAAGCAAATGACAGCGCAGTGATGTAGGATGCATCATCCAAAACGGGATTCTGCTGGAAGGCAGTGGCCTTCGGCATCAGGCTTTCTGAGGCAGAGGGGCTCGCCGGGGCCAAGGGAGGCGGGAGTAACTTCCCTGGGTCATGCCATGGCCCAGGGCAGGAGAGACCCTTCCTGTTTGTATAATCTGGGGAGGTCAGAGGTCGATACACTCACACTACTTTAAAATTTAAGCCAGTTTCTGCCAGAGTGACATCTGTGGCTCAGGAGGCCAAGAACCACATGGTAAAAATTCAGGTGCTGTTTAACCTCAGAAAAGCCAGCAGAGCCCACAGGAAAGACCACTGTTACAGGGATCAGCCAAAAAGCAGTGCTTGGATCATGGCTGGATCAGCTTGGGGTAGCACAAATAAGCATGATGGGATGGCACAAAGTTGAAAGATTTTTTTGTAAAATGCATAATTAAATAACCGAACCATACTCTTTTCAATAGATAGCGTTGCAAGTAGCTGCCTACATCATGCAGATTCCACATGCCTCTACGTTAAAGCGACTCCAACAACTGCAATGATGTCCCAATTGTATATTTTCTCTGTTTTGCTTCTACATAATAAAACTGGGTTTAGCTCTCTCTGAAGCATAGTCATATATAAAGAATGCAAACAAGCAACTGAGCCTCATCTCTCCAAACAGACAGGCACGTGACTGCTGCAGCCTTGCTCTATTGCACCTGCAGACATTCCTTTAGAGAAATCTGTGGTTTTGAGAACAGGTGGGCGATACTTAAGATGACAGAGCAGATCCTATTCCTGCTAAACTGACTTCACAGAGAACAGTGCAGAGTCCAGAGCTGTGGTACAAAACCAGAAAAAGCAAACAACCTGAAGGTACTCGCTTCTCCTAAAGAGATGTGTAGCCTTTCACAGAGCAAAACGTGGCAGAGAATCACCTTGGATCACCACAAAAAGAGTTTTCACATCAGGCTAGACATGTCCCAAATACCACATATTAGCTGTTCAGAGAGTTCAGTGTGGCTCTACAGGAAAGGAATTACTGTGAACCTTTGTATTATAGAAAGATCTCCACACAGCTCCTTTTGTTCAGGGCAGGCTTTTGTAATCCCTCCTCTTGTTCCAGTACATGGTGGTCTTGCCTGTTATTCAATATAAAAAAAACTACAAGCAAATAAAATGCCTTCTCTTCTGGCACTTGCTGTGCTAACCTGAAATAACCACATACCCAAAGGAAGTGAAACTTCTAGTAAGAGAACCATGAGAGTAACCCCGCATTTTTTAAAGATGTCAGCCTTGCACTGCTTCTCTTCAAGCAATGAAAGCACTTGACTTCTGCTCATTTTGACTGGTATTTTCTGCATTTGCAATAGAATTATTTTTGCTGTTATTGGCCTTCCCATGACCTGTGTGTCACTTAATAAACCTCTCAGGCTCTCAGCACCAAGTGGGAGCTCTGGCTTAAGCTGGACTCTGCAAAGTCTTGGCTGGAGGTTCTCAATTTGGGCTAAAGTTGGCATGTGCCATCCTGTAGGTTTAAGCATTAAGTAATTGGTTCTGTGTTTCTCTTTTAGTCTGACTGGTGCCATGATTCCAACTTACCTAAAATATCGCAAACCCCTGTGTACCTGTCACTGCATGCTCATGGGAAATGAGCCTAAGCTGAAAATTCTATACCTAAAGGGCTTGAAACTGTCATCTTGATGCCAAATCCTACTGAATTTTATGACTATGAAAGGTAGAAATGCCTAATGCTGAACATGCAGGGTCAGTTTGTTATTCCCCCAAGAGTACGATCCTGTTTCAGAAAAACCTTAATCCAGTAAATCCAGAAGTACAACATCCCCTTTTGGAGGGAAAAGTAGAACTGTGCACAGCTTTAATCCTGCCACTTAGCACTTCTGGCACTCATTGCCTGGGGCCAAGTTGGTAGCCCACAACAATCTAATCTCATTCTCAGCTCAGGTGGCAGGACATGCACATATATATGTCCTGTCTCTCCCTGGGTCAGGAGAGCCCCTATTACAGCAGTGTAATGTTGACCAGACATAAAATATGGGCACAAGGGATATTCATGAAAGTTGGGTTAGTAATAAACATCTATTACTGTGTGGCTCCAGAAAAGTTTTCCTGGAAAATGCTTACGCACAGAAAAGAAAAGTTTGCTTTAGACTAGCAGTGTGCTGAGGAGGATGGTGGAATTCACAAACTTATCTGCATCTTGGAATGTAAAATGGATGTTCAGGAAGGCCAGATAGTCCCAAAGGACATAGACATCTTCCAGATGAAAGTATCTTTTATTATTAGCTCTTTTTATTGTCAGAGTACAACTTGTGTCTCTTGTGAGCTTTTAAAAATGCTGAGAGGCTGGGCCTTTACATTTGACAAGTTCTTTACATGTATGCAGCATGGGCAGAGGCACTGTGCCATGGTTGCTCCTCGTAGAAAATGGGAAAATGTATTTCACTTTATTTAAAGTAGAAAGATGTGCTTTACTAAAATACATTTTATTCTTTCTTGTGTGACATGCAGTTTTACTATTTTCCATATTTAAGTTTTGAGACAAAAGCCATTACTGGCAATTGCACTTTAGAGAATAAAGATGCCAACAGCCTATGTTTTATCCACTTGCATTTTTGTGATCTTACTCTCTCACTGGAGTCATAAAACGTTATGGGAATGCATGCATTTGCTTGGCCATTTATTAGATTGATTTTAACCTATCATTTTTATGATCTTGCCTTTTACTTTCAAAAACTTGTAAAGGATTTCATTCTTTTAAAATACATGCAGGGTACCTTCCACATACTGTTAATAACCTTGCTGAAAGGACTCAGGCCCTGTAAAGGTTGCTCTGACCAAACCAATGCAAACACAATTGAAGTGATGCAGCAAAATTGCCTGGATTTGAAAACAGGCCAGGGCCAAATCATGGTGCTTAAGAAGCTCAAGGGCAGGTAAGTCTTGGCTCTTATATTTGCGTTATGAACTGTGGCTAGAAACACAAATGAAGTCAGATGAGTTTGTAGCTCTATCCTTGTGCTGTGACATGTCAGCCCTGCTTTTTCAGGTTTCTTCATCAGTGTAGTGGAAATTATAGGGATACTCGTCTTCTGTCATACAAAAGTAGGCTATGAAGATTTCTAAAGGCTATTTCCATACTATCTACGTTTTTCTTCACATGTCCTATAGACTACAGTCCACTGCAGCACTTTCTTCTGCCCTCACTATAGTTCCCAACAATTACTGTCTCCCAGACTGCATCTACATTTAGGAGGAACTTCATCTAAATATCTAAGAAGATCTCTCCCTGTCCTTGTTTCAAAGTCATTTTAGAACTCCTTTTTACCATTGTGGCTTGAACACCCTCAACACAGAGCCATGATGATTCACTCTCTTTCTGTCCACATCCCTGAACTATATACTTCTCAGGGGAGGAAGAGGCTTTTCTACTATTTTCATAATTAAAGTCCTCATTTTTGGCATTTTGGCAGGCTTTATTTTAAGTAGTAAGGAGTGTTGAGAACTGCAAACAAGGGATAAATAAAATTTTCACCATAAGGAATAAATGAGCCATACCTTTTGTGAGCATGACCTGACCAGTGAAACTGGCAGGTTTCACGACTTCAGTTTGGATCATTAACTTCTTTAAAGGAAACAGATTATTGTAACAGTGGCAGCACTAACCAGCCAACGTGCATTTCCACCTGAAACCAAGGTGAGTGTTTCGGGGACAGGGACACCTAAAGGTGCGGCTTCTCATGGAAAAGCCAAGTTGGAACTCAAGGATGGAGGCAGGCTGTGAACTGCAGGCAGCCTGGCTTTGGCAGCACTGTCAGTTAGGTTTTCTGCACCACAGTGATTACCTCTGCCAGGTGATCAGGTTTAAAACCACATTACTGAGGTACAGGGCAGGAATTACCAGATAGGGGCAGACAAGACATTATTTCCCTTAGCTGATACTGCCACCAAAACTCAAGGATTAGAAAATGCTGATCTAAAAAAAATCAGTCTGAATAGCTTTGGTGCATCACCCTGGAAAGAGTCCAGGAGGGGCAGGAGGGTGACAATGCCTGCCGTGGGCTGAGAGGCTCTCTGGTTGTGCAAGGTTTCCTTTGCACAAGGAAGCAAAAATTATATCCAAGCTGCCTGGCTCCGTTAATAATTGCTCCTTACTATTCAATACCTGAAGTCACATAAGTCAAAAGGCCACCACAACTCACAGATCTGGAGTCATCTGTCAGCTTTTGTCTGGTGCCTTTTAAAAATCTTTCTGTCACAAG